TTGAAGGAGGAAGCGTGCCAGCTATGGAGGGGAATGTTGTCCACCCTGAGCTAGACTCTCAGGGGTTTGAGGGCTCCAACCAGAGGAGACCATTCCTCAAGCGAGAAGGAAACTCCTCTAAAGAGGGGAGGTTTAGATTGTAGTGCGACCCTGGCGGAGTGACGGAGGCGAAGGTGAAAAAAAATGAGGCCACTCTTCAGACACCGGCAGGCCAAGTCAATCTCCTTCCAAAATTTTTGACCCCATTTTTCTGTACCTTGAACATTGTCTTTGCGGGTGAAAGGAACCTACTGGCGAAGGCTGGAGATTTAAGGCCGAGTTAGGAGCAAGATTGCGATGCAAAGGGATGAAGAGCATAGGGTTGACCCCAAGGGGAGGAAGGGTTGAGGCGCCATCCACGCAACTAATTGTTACTCTTTTCCTCCTTTTTTTTGTTGAAAGAAGATTTTATGTCACGCAATCACAATGATGGCCACGAACCCTCATGTCTACAGACTGACCAAAAACATTGTGATCAGTGCAGTTTACTGCTCCGTACAATTTCAACTAAAACCGAAAAGAGCATCACAATCCAAATCGCTTCACCCATTCTGGGCAAAGTGGTTGTTAATTAATAAGTAGAAGCTCGCGTCTCATCTTTGCAAAATGAATCTGCTAATGCATTTGTTGGCCTAGTCAAGGGTTACTAAAGGACAACAAAATATTTGTTAAATAGAGGATGAAAAAGTAATTAGTGACATTGCTGATGATAAACCAGTGAGTAGAACATGTTTAGGGGTGGCAATTGGCCGAGGGGCCTAGCCCAGCCTGGCCCAGTCGCCTTGGCCCTTAAAACAAGGGTCTGGACTACAATATGTGGGCCAACATCAAGACGGGGCCAGCCTTGTTTGGCCAGGTCCGACCCTTTTTCTATTTTTCCTTTCTCTATTTTTCTTTCAGATTGTATTTGGCCCGGTCCAGCCACAGCCAGGGCCAGGGCCTCTTCGGCCCTCCATGTTTCACACTTCAGGAAGGTAAATCCAAATTTATAAGGGAAAAATCAATAATGCTTTCATTGAGCAAAACACCGAACGTCAAAAATTGTGGGGCAGAGAAAATATCCCTATAATACTGCATATTCATCTCTACAATAGTGCATAATTACAAAGACGAAACAGATACACAATATTGTCAATGTACAGGTGCTCTCTAATGGGAGCTTTCTTAGTATGTTCGCAAAGTGCTCTTTGGTACTTACAAGTTCAGGAAGTATTTCTCCATTTTTTAACATTTCTTGATTAAACTAATAACAAATTCTCATTTTCTGTGCTCCAAGGGAAGGACCAGGTAACTATAATAGAACTCAAATGATCACGATGGATTTTGGCTTGACAAAAAGAAATCCCCAACTCTACAGGAAGAGATTGAACCCAAGAAAATTATGCAGCTATGGATGCAATGGCTGTACATTCAACCTCAGCATCCAATTAGACAAAGTGTCAATGGTGCTTGCAGCTCCATGACATCAATCAATCAAGAAATAGTACCCAATATCCACTTAAGATTTCTAGAAAGTCCTAAGTCAAATCAACATCAAAGAAGGCAAATAACTTCAGAACTATTCATAAGATCTTTGGGGAAAGTAAACGGTCACTTATTATCCCCTTAATATGCCTCAGAATCCTTTCAGCAATTTGCAAAGAGATTGTCACAGATTATCCATGAAGGTAGCATACCCCGTTCACAACCATAAACCGCCAAGCATGTTTTTATAGCAAGCTTGATCAGAATCATGTATCTTTTATTCGCATTTGATTTTGCTCATAATGGCTAGACTGCTAGAGTGAATGCCAGTTTGCACTAAATAATCCTAGCAGGCAAAAAATCTTGACATATTTATGTCCACGAGAAGTCCACAAGACTTTGAATAACAGTAGGACCAAGTGGGAACAAGAGTACATCAATTGGAGTAGGAAATGGTTACCATATGTGGTATAAGGTTGTGGTAGCACCAACCCGAAGGAAAAAGATACAACTAAGGTTGAACTTGAAAGCCAGCAAAACACCCTAAATTCACCAGTCTTTCTTTTCAAATTTTATGTTTTACAACATACTTCAAAACTTGATGTTATCTGCATAGAGAAAAATATCATTATGCCTTTGACAAATCTCTTAATGGATGGGGAGTCATCAACTACATTACTATATTATCTTTTCCTCTTTTTTTTGAAATTTAATTACATTAATTTATTCTCTCCCATCCTTGAGTGCATTACAGAAGCTTCAATCCATGCTCTTGGGGCTTCAAGTTATAGAAGTCCTTTTTTTTATTTACTTGTATATCCCTGGTCTTGATTCCTTAAACCTAACTGGCTTTTCCAAATATACTTTCAGTTGAACATTAAAAAAAAGAAGACTGGGTTGCATGTTACATCCTAATCTGCAACTAATTGCAGCCTACAGCTACTAATCCAACCACAAGCCACTTTATAGTCCATCTAGCTCATACTTAATTCTGCTCTAGAAACAACATACTGGGAGTCATTCTCCTTTCACTGGACACAGTCCTCTTGAAACATGCATGTGCATATGCGTGTATGTATGTCTGTGTGTGAGAGAGAGCTAGAGACATAAATAAAATAAGAAAGGAGGAAAACAGAACTTGTCATAACTAAGAGATGGATACTTCAATCCCTTTGGGCTAAAAAGAAAAACCCTGAAAATGGTATCCTTGCAGAGTTGATACCATATATATTTAAAGGAGAATCCAATAATAATTTCATTAAGTGAAATATTAAGTGGTGAAACATATCAGGGTTGACATAAGTATTCTAAATTTTTCATAGTTAAAAAAAGATGAAACATGTTAACATACTAGTAATAATGTTCCTGAGATATATAAAACACCTAGAAAAATAGCCTGGGGATTAAATCAATTGCATGTCTCAGGCAAGGTTTTTACCAGATTTGGTGACAGGGAACACAACAAAACAGCTTGCAATCGTAACATGAAATCAATTATTTCAAGTGCAAATATAAGATTGCAAGTTTTTTTTTACCTTTTCTCTTTTTTGTTTTCTGGATAAGTGATAATAACATTTCTTTTGATGGACAAGAAATTTTATGAGGCCCGTGGATTGAAAACATAGGTCATTCAATAACTTTGAAGTTGGGTTCATGGAAAATACTACACACAAACTGAAACCATATGAAAACCACAATTATGACTCATAAATTGACGCAAATAATCTCTAAGTGTGTGAATGGAAGTGTCTTATCTCAAAGGTTTAAAAACCCTTTAGATCCAGTATAAGCACATACATAAAATAGAAACCATATACCTACAAGTGTGTGTGTATGTGTGTGTGTATATATATATATATATATATATATAATGGGGGCTATTCTAGGATATACCACTTTAATAGTGAACTTAGAATTTCCTAAGCCAAAAGTTTTTACCATAAAATGCCCTTTTATATCCAAAAATGACTTTTCACTATAGCTTGTTCAAAGGTGTTTAGTCATTGCAAAATCCCCCAAAAAGTTGATTCCAAATTTAAAACGATTTCTTCGACTTTTTGAATCACCATTGAATTTGAGAAGTAATAAAAAATTACAAATATCCCTTTTTTAAATATTCAATCAAACTATTACTAATGTAATTTTAAAATTTGTAAAGACGTTTTGTGGTCAAAATTTTCGGGGTAGGAAATTCTAAGTTCACCATTAGAGTGGTGTAGCAAACGATGCCCTACACACACACACATTAGAAAGCTACACACCATCAACAATATTGGACGGTTGAGAGTGTGTATCGGGGTAAATAGTAGAGTGAACTTTTGGGTGTCCACCCTTCCAACATACCCCTCAAACTTGTAGTGGTATTTTGGTTATTTTATTGAAAACAAATTTTCTAATGTCTTTAACAGGTGCGTCCATGTTGGAAGTGTGGATGCTCCAAAATTTCAACTTGATTGTAAAACAAAATTAAAATTCAATGAGCGAACGTGCTCTCAACCACCTGATCAAGGTTGGATGGGTGAGATTGTAGCACTCCATTGTATGAAAAACGTTACAGCAGTTTATAGGTTTTTCCACTAGCATGCACAGCCGCACACACACAAGTATATGCACACATATATATCATCTACCCATCCATGGATGCATGCACGTATACACAAAAGCATGCACACATACATGCATGTATGTTAGTCATGCACACATACACAGAACTTCAATCGTTATGCACTTTTCCTTATAATGCAAATATATATTGAAGGGGAATGAAAACATTCTGTAAGGACAAGGTTAGACATCGTAATTACTGTTTCTATAAACAACGTAAAAGCTTTATCACTTAATTCAGAAATTTGTCAACCAAGTTTTCGTAATTCACAGCTCCAAGGCCCTGTCTTGGGACTTGCTGATTCTTCTAGGAACATTTCCCAAAATTGTCATTAACAAAGATAACACCAATCCATCAAAAGAATAACAATTTGATCTTCCAGAATATTTTGGTTTCTTGGAAAATAAGATCAGTAATGCCAAAAACCGAATCACAGTTTTTAATATCCAAAAATCATTAGGTGGGATTACAATCTAGGGACCCAAGAATGGCCTTGAATGATAGAATGTAAGTATGCATGCTATGGAGTATAAAACATAATACCAGTTCACACATATACTTCTAACATAAAGAAGACAATGAATAAAATATACCGTAAATAATCCTATAAAGTGTTTGACAGGGATCCTTTGAATGAGAAGTATCAAAAGTCTAGCACAGGATTGCTAATTGCTCCGAATTTTTTTTCTAATAAATTATTTTGTAAGATGCAGAGTTCAGATTTGAAATCTTTTGTTTGTTTTCTAAATATCAACCACTCGACAATTCCTAGCAGAGTTCCCATATGTGCCTCTTTAGAACTTAACAATGACCTGAAAAGACATATCCCAAAAGAAAAAGGACATAAGCTAAACACACTTGATTTCCCAATTCAAGGAAAACAAATACTAACCTCCAAGTGCATTAAACCCCATGAAAAGCAGCGATGATGAGAATTTGCTGGTTTATCACCCAATCCTCTATACTCATACAACTCAGTGGAAATATATATGCACCTTGGAATTCTCTGGTATGATGTTTCAAGAGGTATACTGCCGCATGTCACGACCTGTACAGCATAATTTCATGTCATGGACTATGTACCACATTCGTAGTAAACATGTGCCATCACCTAACAAACGATATAGACAAACAGGTGTACTATATCCGACAAATGATGGACAAACCATAGTAAATTAGGTCATCACAATCGATTGAAATGATGGGCAGTGATGGATAGAGAGAGTGGAACCCACCAAAAAAGGACATGATCTAATAGTGGGACCATGTCCTAAGGTCATCATCATCATCATCAAAGCCTTTTCGCAACTATTCAAGGTCAATTACTATCGCGAGAACCCTTGCCTATTTTTCACTACAACCAGGTCGCACTACAGCACGTCGCTTATAGAGTATAATGGTAAAAACCGCTGATCTCATATGTGGCTCAAAAGACGAAGCCCCTAAGGCTAGCATTTATAGAAGGTGATCTGCCTACGGGAAAAAGAAAATACTTGTTACACTGTAGTATATGCATTCATATGTCATCCAAATTTCAAGTATGAACAAATGTTTGCCTTCTTATCACTCGCCCCCAAAAAAAAAAAAACAGAGGTCGTTTTGCCTTAGGCCTAAGAATGTGAGGACCTTAAACTTTCCCTTAACATGTCCCAAGCCTGGGTAAAGGGGGTGGATTGTGTTAGATAGGCAACCAATGTAAAACTTTGCCAAAACTTTCCATGAAAGCCGAGTCCAAATAGTTGGGAAAAAGCTTTAATGATGATGAAATTAATATCACTAATCCTCTTTTGATATTAAGTTCACCCGTGCTTTGTTGGTTTACAAATGAGGTTTCATTTGCTTGAATGTTTTTGTCTTCATTCATTCCTTTGGAGTCTCTTTAATGTTTTTGTTTTAGTGGATGGTAGTATACAAACAAAGAATCACTGGATTCAGGTTGATCTATGGCATGAAGTGAGCAAGTTGTGCCTTACCGCTTATGATAAGGCTTCAATTTTCAAACCTTTGATTTACATGATGATTTCCTGGCAATGTTTAAGAGATAATCTACCTTGGCATAATGGGAGAGCTATGCATATATAGGGTAGTTCACCACAAGTTGCATTTAAAAATATTGACTTATTTGGGTTTCGTTTAATGGTACTCAGCTTGAAGTATGTTCGCATCTTATGGATTTTTTTCAAGGCTGGTGTAGGATAGGAAGTGGGAGATGGTGTGCAACAAGGATTGACATGATTGTGTGTTAACGTTGCAAAAATGAGAAGATTATTGTCATAAAGTAGGTAGAAAGGTGTGTTCTCAACTCTAATAATACAAGGTAGTTGGAATCTCTTACTATATATTCCTTTTCCAATTAGCTTAAAATATTCCATAGCTCTGACCAAGAGAAATGGGATAGGGGATCACTTGCCTAAGCCCATTTTTTGCTCTTATAGTAACCAGAAGCGGTTGCATTGAGGAGAATGCAGTACTTGGGTAGTGCTATATCCGTTTTGATCCAATTAATGACTTTTTCTCCAAAACCCTATCTTTTACATTTAGCAAAAAATCTCAATTGGCTTTGTTGAAAGCTTTATAAGCATCTACTTATATGTAAAAGGTGCTTTTTTTTGTTTTCTTGCAATACATGAATAAATTCATGTGCAATTAAGACTTATTAAAAAATGCTTTGATTTTGTGGAATGGCACCTTGTCTAGGGCTAATGATATGATCTAATAGCAATTTAAGCCTACTGGGGATGATTTTGCTGATGAACTTATAAATCAAATTGAAAAGGCTTATTGGCCAGTAGTCAATCACGGAGATAACACCTTTCTTCTTTGGGATTAGAGTGATGAAGGTTGAGTTGAGGGATCGCATTAGTAATTGCCTATGAAAGGTGTCTTTTATGGATTTTGTGAATTTAGGGCCCATTATGTCCTAATAATTTTGAAAAAAAATGAGTAAGGAAGCCATCAGGCCCATGAGAATTGTCTCAACTCAAACTCGTACGGGTAGTGGTAATTTATTTGGAGAATTGTACATGAAACAAGGCATTCACATATTCAAATAATAAAAAAACATCTTATTCTTAAAAAAAATACAAGCAACTAAACAACCATTTGACTAAACTTCCATTCATGAATACTAATTCACAAATAAATTCTACAAAAACAAGCAATCATAGAAAGATTGGCAATTACCCAGCAATCATTCAACCAAACAGGGAAAATCGAGTAAAAAGGCAATAAATAAGAAAATTGACAAGAACATAAACAAAAGAGACACATAATCGATGAAAAACCAACACAATGGAAGAAAAAAAAAAATTAGACATAAAATTGGCAATTACCCCAGTAACCTTCACATATTGCCCGTTCTTTGCACCTCTAAGCTCTGCATCAGGATATCCTGCAATAAAACCCATCAACCCTTTCCTTCTCCAAGCAAAATTCCACCCCAACATGACAATCCCTGGAACCGAAAACCCCGCCACAACAAACAATATAATGGGCTTTCTCACAGTTACCAACATGAAGACCCCAACCACTAAAGCCACCATAAAAACCGCCACAATAACCCAAACCACCAGCTTAGGAACCTTAAACCTCAAACCCCCATCCCCAGCATCGAGGCTCGTGATCGATGCCCCATACCCGGCAACCTTATTGGGCTCAATGGGGCCTGACTTGGGCCTACGAGGCCCATTAAGGGGGCCTGATGAGATAGGCCCACTAGTAATTAGTCCCGTAGGTTGCAGAGATAGAGATCCAGAGTGTTGTCGAGAGGAGGACAGAGGGCCTGAGGACTTGCGAAGTGGGCCTGAGCTCGAATTAGGGTTTGAAGAAGTGGGGGTCCGGTTGGGGCCCGAATTGGAGTTGGGGTTGGAATTCGAGGGTCGGGGGACAGGGGCTTTGTCAAGGACAGGGATGTCAAACATTTTGCCGAGCTCCCCCGACTTCTTGACATCGCCGCCAGTGTAGGGCACGGCCTTGGAGGACATGGTGGGGGCTCTCTCCTTGTGTTGCTCGGGGCGACCCGACACGTACAGGCCGTTGCTCAGCTGATGGGAAGGAATCCTGGATCCCATTCTCTATCTTGCTGGTTTCTGTTTGCACTTATGCTCTCTCTGATATCTACTTCGGGTCTACAGGTATGGGAAGAGAGAAGAAGAGCAATCTCAGCAGACTGGGGCGGGGATGGTATGCGAGCGGAGAGAGGCCGAAAGAGTGAAATGGGGCGTGTTTTATTTGAGACAGAGAGAGAAGAGGGGTGTTCTGCAATCGATGGGTAGATGAAGGAGAGAGAGAGAGGAGAGTGGTTGTTGCAGAGAAGAAATACGCAATGGGGCAGTGGAGTCGGACTTGTTTAGAGAGAGAGTAGATGATGTTGATTCGGAGAAGAAAGGGGAAGAGAGAGAGAGGGAGTGGATGCTGTTGATTCGCGGGGAGAGAGAGAGAGAGAAATGGATTGGGGTGTTTGCTTTTGAGGAGAAAATGATAATGGCACGTACAGCAGAGAGAGGGCGTAGACTGTAGAGAGAGAGAGTGGAGAAAGAGAAATGATAGAGCGATGGAGCAAGAGTAGAGAGTGGAGTGGTGATTTGAGAGAGAGGGAGATAATTATATTTGTTTGACGGGTGAAAGTGGCAGTTACCGATTTGAGACCGAACCTCCTGCCTGCCACGGGCGGACAACGCTGTGGGGACGGAGGGGACTCCCGTCACTTCACTCCCATGATTCTCTCTCGCCCTACACAGAGGGCGGCAACGGCCGGTCCGGGTCAGAGGTCGAGCTGGGGCCGGGCGACTGCAGACTTTAGTCCTTGCAGGGCTGGCCCGGGCCTGACATGGCTCGTACTTATCAAAATGCGCCTAGGAGTAGACCTGGCTTGATAGAAAAAAGCAAAATAAATTTGAAAATAAAACAAAAGAAAAAATTTATTTTACCAGAAAAATAATAATAATAATAATAAAGAAAAAATAAAACAAACGAAGAACGGCGTTGTGGGGATTGAGGGCCTCACATCATTTTATTCCTATCATTCTTTCACCCCCTTTGTCGTCATCATCATCGTCATTTTAATATTTTTCTAATTAATTGGGGTCGGCTACATGATCTATCTTCTCTTCTATATAGTACACAAATTATTGCACACTATGGTGGCAACGGACTGGGCCACCGTTGGCCCCCAGTCCCTATAGGGCTGCCCCAAGCCCAACCCAGCTCTTATCGAGCAAAACAGACATGGGCCTAGACCCGGCCCTACATGACAAGGAAAAATAAATTCAAAAATAAAGCAACAATAAAATTAAAAATAAAGCAACGCCAGCCCGATTTTACACCACGGGTTGTGGTTTCTTGGGTCTCAGACGACCCGGTCCATTTCCACCCTTAATGCACACCTTCCATTCTCTCTCTACTTTTACCATTCACACCTATGCATTTTCTCTCTCTTCAATCGCCATCTCCCTCTCATTTTAGTCCTATCAAATATTTCTCTTCAATTTAGTCTCTGTCTTCTACTAAGATTGGAAGATCATAGTCAACTTTTGCTAACTACCAAAGCCCACTTTGCTGTGCTCTATTTCAGCTAAGATTCTTTGAGGACGTTTAATAATATTTCTTGTTTTGACCCTAAGTTTTATTATTTTCTGTCGGCCAAGAAAAAGTGGCCCCATTTGAGTGAGTGTGAAGTGTGGTTTACAAGTCGTATTCCAATTATAAAATCATCATTCCTTGAACTCAATTTTATGGTAAAAAGAAATGACACTTGTTTGATATAATGAAACTCATGAATGTAATATTCAATTGCTTAATTCAATGCTCACCTACGCGAGAAGAGAAAATGAAAATCAGGAAGAAAGTGTCGTTTGGTTTGTGGGAAAGTTCTTTCCCAAAAAAAAACTTTCCATGTTTGGCAAAAGCACCATCGCATAAAATGTTTTGTCGATACCAAATCGTAGAAAAGCAGTTTCACGTGACTGGACCGTCTAATGTGTGAAAGCTCGCTCTAAATGACAACCTTCATTGAACCAAACGACGCCACGATATTTTGACTCTTAATTTTTCCCTCCATCTATTGTCTGATCTATTTTCATTTTTCTTTTTTGTCAAATTGATGGCTTATGTTCTTTGGCTCATTTGTAGGGAAAGATGAAAATTAATCGACAGAATACGTTCTTTTCTTTTTCTTTTTCTTTTTTTCTTGTTTTCGAAAAAACAGAATACGTTTTTTTCTTGACTCCCAAGTCATTTAGCCCTTGAAAGTATCATGTACCAAACAAAGAACCTTACTTTTGGAAAGCTGGAGTTACACCACAATGAAGCATTAAACAACTTCATCATCATCTTGCTTCATGGGGCATCCATCACATGTGTGAGAGAGCTCATTTTGAGTCATAAGAAACAATGGGCTTTGCTTTTGATTAAAGATTCATGCACATTATACATTTGTGTGCTCTTTAATGCTTGTTGAAGGGCTTGAAATCACATTTCTTTTTGCATTTTGTGGCTTTATGCTTGTTTACACAACGCACCCTGAATTCATTTGTGGTCTATATGGCTCCCTTTAACCTTACTTTTGGAGGTCCAAAGACTTAGCCCTTACTTTTGGTTCACGTACCTAGCGTGTAACCTAGGGTTCACAGCAGCTGCCCGTTCCATTAAAGTCCAATTAGGGTTCATTGAGGAGTCTCAGGCCTGCTTCGAGTTTAGCTCAACTAACACATTCAAGTGAACGCATTTCTACTGCTCTATGAATACTCCTTTAATTCAATTTTGTGGTTTTGTTGTCAGTTGGGATTGTTTGGATGGGAGTTAATTTTATTTGGAGTATATTAGCTTATCTAAGATGAAGATATTTTGTGTAATACTATTTCGTCAGTGGTATCGTACGTACTTTATATTATGTACAATATTGTTTTGTTAGTTAACTTCCTCCGTGATTTCCATCTTTCTTTAGCTATTTCTAGCTAAGAACATTTGATTTCTAACAAATTATTTAAATAAAATAAGAACAAATTTTCAAAAGGATAACTTATATAAAACTAATTGCCTATAAGTTTATCTTAAGTAACACAATGATGGACCTTGCCAAACAACAAATAATTCATTATCCAGATTAATCTTATTGAAACAACGAATTATCAATGACAATAATGCATCCAAATAGGTCCTTTTGTATTACCTTTGTCGAGAAATGCTTTGGACTTGATAAAACATAAAGAAATGATTTGGATTCAATCATCTTCGGTGGTATTTGAGGTTTGTAAATATGCAAGGAAACCATTTGTTTTTAATACAAGTAGGTTACAATAACTCTTGTCTGATTTCAAATTGGCTAGTTGTGCGTGTGTCATGACTAGACTCAAAGTTCAAAAATGGATTTCTAAAACTTTGTAACGCACCTCATGCCATCCAATTTGACATCTAATATTTAATAGCAATTGTGACCTACCTGTAACAAATGCAAAAAATGTAAATGGTCGCATTGTATACAATCCCAATTTAGATTTACTTCCTTTTTAGTCACATTCACATTGCTACCTTCTCATCTAAGATTTCTTGTTATCTTTGATAGCCTTCTTGTGCTTTCATGCAGTGTATAAAGCCACATTTGCATTGCTAAAACTCATCTAAGTCAACCCGAATCCCCAAGTGGGCATGTTTTATTAGAAAACCCCATAAGGCAATTGACCTTCTTATAGAAATTGCCATAATAATTTGAATAATATATGGTTTCTACTAGTTTGTTACATTGTGTTATAAACTATGAGTAAATTAGCATTAAAGAATTCAAAATACTTGTTGAGAAATAATTTCATACAAAAAAAAAATCTCAATACTTTTACGCATTGAAACTGGTTGAAAGTCATGTTTGTCTAGTTAAATTGTTTATTTGAGAATATGTATTTGGAGGGTTTAAATATGGAAAGTCTGAGGCACATAGGTTATTTGCAAGTAAGAAAAGGAAAATTAGTGAGGGAGTCTCTGAGTTGGATCTAACCTTATTCCCTTCAATATTACAATCATCGAGTATAGTGTCACAAACACATACTGCTAGAAAGGGGAAGGGCAAACTCTTGACATGTTTGATGTTAATGCAAGAGAGGATGTCGATGCCACTATAGCATGTTGTTTTTATTCTTATGGCATCCCATTTAACATTGTGAAAGGACCTAGGTTCCATGAAATGTTAGCTGCAATAACTCGTGCTTCGAAGGGATATGTCCCACCCAAATATTAGAAGCTTCTGACCACTTTGCTTGATATAGAGAGAAGCAGGATTGATCAGAAATTGGAAGCACCGATGAATGAGTAGATAACTTATGAAGTGCCAATTGTTTTTGATGGATGGAGTAGTATAAAAAATGAATCCCTTGTTAACATCATGACCGTGTCTGGTGGAAGGGCCATGTTTGTAAATGGTTATGATTGCTTAAACGTCAAGAAAACTAGTCAAAATATTACAGATATTCTCTTAAAGTGTCATAAACAAAATTGGACCATATAATGTGGTTCAGGCAGTAACTAATAACGTTGCTAATTGAAGGGGCCCGGGATATTGATTCAATAACGTTATCCCCATATTTTCTGGTCAGGTTGCTTGGCTCACACATTAAGCCTTCTTATGAAGGATATTATGGATAAAAAGAGAAATAAATCCTTCTTTTCTTTTGTTAGAATTCTTTACAAGGAGACGAAAATGATAACATGTGCATTCATAATCATAGTAGATGATTGTATATACTCAGGACTATTTCAAACCTTGAGCTTATCAAAGCTAAGACGACTTGATTCGGATAACAATACATCATGTGCAGCAGTTAATGGAAATGAGGTTTTCCTTAATGTCCCTCGTGTTAAGTGAACATTGAGAGAATCTTAAGTGAGGCCCAATAGATATTGAGCATGATGAAGTTTGCAGAGTAATCATGGATAACACTTTTTGGACAACCAACAAGAAAGTCTTGCTGTTCACAAGGCCACTATAGAAGATGATAAAGTTTGTAGATAGCTGCAAGGTTGTTGTGGGCGATGCATATGAGATGATGGATACTATGTTGGGAGAGATAAGTGTGGCCTTATATGGTGATCGCAAGTTGTGCTAAAGAGTGAGAGACTTGGCTGTCGTTCGATGGAACTGGACGAATCTTCCACTCCATTTTCTAACATTTCTTTTGAGTCTCAAGTATGACTATCGAGAGTGGTTGTCTACACCCACACCTGAAAGGGAGAAGAGGGTGAAGCCCCATCATGATAGAGAGGTGTAATCTTGTAACCATAAAGCTCTTGGTATGTTGATTTTGGATGAAACCAAAACGACCTAATGTGTGACAACAAATGAATGATTTTGTTGGCAATAGAGATGTTTTCTTCCTCCTAATGTCGATAACTGACAGGGGCACGATGTCAGCAATTTCATGGTGGGATTTGTATGGGGATAGAGCTTCAGTGTTGTATTCATTATATTGTGTTATCGCAAAGTATTAATTCTTCATGTGCATAAAGATGTTGGAGCACTTATAACTAGATCCGTTGTGTGAAAAGGAGAAAACAACTCACCTATAAAAATAGCAACTAATTAAATTCTAACTAACTACCAT